GCAGGGACAGCTGGCACCGAGTTGGCACAGAAAGCCACGCAGCAAAAAGCAGGAAGGAAGCTAAATTCAGCATAAAAAAAGCAGTGTTTGCCTTCTACCTTTTGATTTCCCACCACTGGTGCCAATGGAAGGAACCCACTCATTTCCCCTCAGCAGAGTAATATCCCTGTTTTAAGTTTACAGTCCCTAAATTTGACTGTAAATTGGTAAAATGATTACCCAGACTCTCTGAGTACATGGATGTTAYTAAGTGAAAGTAATTGTGGTGATTTAGGCCACTTAAGGCCACCAAAACTTAACTGACAAGTACTATTTTTAAGCATAACAAATCCAAATAATCGGTATTAATCTAGAAATTCAAAGGTGCTTCTTGAAATGCCAATAGTAATCTGCTCTCAGGTTTTTTTTTTTTTTTGCTATATAATTGAATTTTCAATACTTGTAGTTGGGGTTTTTTAAAGAAAAAGCCCCTGCACCATTAACAAGCTATTTTTTTAAAGAGCCTCCATGCTGCCCTTTGTCTTGAGGGAATAGTAAGAAACAAGTCAGCTCTGTAAGGAAAGTAGGAAGGGAAAAGCACCTGCAGACTGATGAAAATACCCAATTTCTGAGTGAAGCATAGAATGTTCTTATGAAAGGATTTTGCTGTTTTCACCACTGCACAGCTTAGCAAATTGCAAATCCTATATCTATGCACAAAGCCAGTTCTTGGCACCTTCTGTACTCCAGCAGCTTCCAATTTTTGATATTTATGTCTACTTTKAGCATGCCTCTGCCACCAAGAACGCCAGCACTGTCCTCCATATAGACAGAGTCCTCCTGATTTTCACGTGGAGGTTATGTTCTGGCAACAACTCTGAGGGCAACTTCCAGGAACAGCCTCATGCTTTGTCACAGTCCTGCTGCAGAAAACCTGTGAATCTTTGTGTCATGACACACACGTACCCTAGGGAGAACATGAAAAAGAAGTGCCCAGGTAACCTGAATTATTATTTTTCTAAATAACTTCAAAATTTAGAGACAGTCTTTCCAAGCTCCATAATATGACTGGGAACCTAAGAACATATGCATTTCTGTGGACATTCCCAACCAATTCTCTGACTTCTGATGCCTTCTACTCACTAGTGCTTTCCTTCACAATAAGGTGCCTCTGCAAAGGTCACAAATTTGGTGACAGTTGAGTAAGATGTATAGCAGAAAAAAACATGAACAGTAAATACACTGAGCGTACGTGTCACTTCTGATGATAACCTAAATAGACTTGTCGCTGCAAAAATAGTAGGGATTTCACTCAAAGATTTTAAGTAACTACTCTTCTTTTACCTTGTTTTTCTGTTTGTTGCTTAAGAAAGCAAAGTGAATCCCTTTAAAAAAGTGTTAATTTGGGTGCCAGCTGAAAGTAACTAACCTTAAATTTCTCCAGTCATTAAGGTCAAGAAGCCTCCTCTGAAAATCTGAAATAAAAACACTTCTTACTGCATTTCCACTCTTGTTGAGCTCTCCCAGCCCTGCTGCAATAGTCCATGAAAGCAATACAAATATTCTCACTTCTCTAAGCTATAGCAGACAGCCAGGAAGAAGAAAATAGTTGCTCATTAAGAGCAATGCAAAAGTTCTGCAACGTAAAAAACAGCTAAACTTCATCTGTTATCAACAGAAATACCATATAAGAACACAAAGATCCAGGAAGGGTGCTGGATCCAGCAGTTTTCAAGTATTAGTGCCTTCTAATAATAGATATGATTGAACATTGAGGTGGAAATTGGCTTTCCTGGTGGCTGTGGAACTGGCAAAAACTTTATTAAAGGCTGTAAAAGGAAACAGAGCAGCACTGGCAGGGGACCTTCTGCGGAGGAAGGAGGTTAGTTCAGATTTTCCTCCTCCCTGCTGCCTGCTAATCCTGGCAGCCATGACCTGGTTTGAGCACCTTGGCAGCTGGTGTGCGTACACTGTAGGGGCTGGTCTTAGGCAACCCAGCAAACATTCCTGATGATGACATTCTGACCTGAACCTCCCTTTTCACCCCATTTATCTGGCAAGGCATTAAAAGCCCCCTAGTACAAACCGACAATCAAACAAGACTTCCCCATCAAAGAGGAAAGAGAGGCTTTGTGGCAGGCACAAACGAGTCAGAACATCTGTTTCAGTTGAGCCTCCCTAAATTATTCATTTAGATTTGAGTCACACAAAAACTGGGCACATCCAGGTTGCTAAGTAAGCCTCCGTGCAGAGGAGGAGGAGGCCAGAGAGGCGGCGCTTCTTGCACCACAGGGACACTCAGGCAGCCAAATAATCTCCCTGTAAGAGCACACTAGGCAGAGGCAGTGACTAAACACTGCCTGCAATTCCAGGAACTCGAGAGTGACACARCAGAGAGCGCAGGAGTGAAATGAAGGCACAGAGAACTCATTTCTGATAGACGGCACACCGAAAACAAAGCCAGGCAGCTGAGTGCTTTCCCTTGGACCATCAGGCTGCCCACACACTCAAGCATGACACAATGACAAGCCCTCGTCACACACAAGTTCTTGCATCTGAAAGTCAAAAACCCCAGAAGAAACAAGCCATCAGTTATTATTACTTAGTAGCTGAAAGAAAAATTACTCAGGCCTGATGTGGAGGCAGCAAAATCCCTCTTGGCTCTTCAGTTTAATTAATTTCACCATAAGGTAGGAATAGGTAAAAAAATAAACAGTGTGAGATGGAGCAGCTTAACAATCCCACCTCCCTTGCCTCTAGTAAGGATTTAGAAATTTATCTACGATAAGTAAAGTCAAGTATGTATTACTGAACAACAGAATCATCAAAGATACATCAGGGGAAATAGATAATAGAAGAAACAACGGTCCCAAATTAGCCAAAAACTGGTGAAATATTTTGGATTGCACTAACAGATTAGGTTTTGTTTTGCAGCAAAACAGAAAGGGCTGTCTTGCCTTTCAAGAATACTTCCTTTCCTCTAAAATTTCTGTTAAAAAAATCACTGCAAAATTTTGTTTGCAATAGGTATTTTTAGAGACAAAAACAAAGATGGAGAAGAATACAGCCAGACAAATGGCCTGCAAAGGGTATGGGTGGCACAAACTACAAGAACAGAACAATAAATATCTGAGTTTTACTCTATTTTAAATAACACTAGAGGATCACAGGAGATTGTTGAAAGTAGAAGCTATAATTAACAGATTTAGTGTAAGTGAAAAAAGGTGGAAATGGCTGGGTAAGAACTAAAGAATAAAAAAGACTAAACTTAAATTAGCTATCAATTAGCAGTCAATATTAGTATGAGGTGAGTATTTTCATGGAACATATTTTTTACCAATAAATATGTTGGGAGTGCCACAGAAACTGTAGAAGCACCAAGTACTGATAAAATGCACAACCAAAGCTGCCACAATCTAATATACAGCAACTCCTGGCAATTCCATTAAATTATTTCCATGACACAACCTTCCAGATCTCAGGCTTAACAGCGTGTATAGATTGTGCCTTTCACCTCTGAAGTTCTTTCTACTTATCACAGAGAGAATATGCGCTGAAAAAAAAGACTTAGAGATGTGTTAGTCAGCAAAWTAGATGTAAACATCCCTGGGACCATGCAGCTGGTGACTGATGGAGGCTACAGATGCAGAACGACATCCAGCTTGGCTAGGAGAAAAATCCTGGCAAAGTGCAAGAAAATGGAAAGAAATAAAAAAAAAAAAAAAACACCCCCCAAAAGAAAAAAAAACCCCTTCCTGAGCTATCTTTAGTGATAGGGAAAAAAGACTGGAAAAAGGGGACAGCGGGATTTATATCCTTGTCACCTCGCTCATTTAGTAGCAAGGAAAAAGAAATTACTTAGGTAGCATACAAAGATATTTAGGAGTATTATTTGACAAATGCACTGATTAAGAAAATAGAAAATCCCCTTCAAAAGCAGAAACATTTCCTGTTGTTAGGATCCTTCAAAAAATGGGCTCTCTCCAGACATGGAACACTTTAACACTGTGATGCATCAATGGATCCCTCTCAGCTTGACTTAGGACCAACCAGCCTCACATCTTGTGTGTGGACTGAGGAGCTGGAAAGCCCCTGGCTCATTCATGGGAGTGAAGGTTGGTTGAGAAATATCAAAAGGTGCTTTTGAAAGCCAGAAATTTCAGGGCAACCAAAGAACAGAACAAGGAACCACAGCTAAACAAAGACATTGATTTTGTCTCCACTGCTGACAAGCACCCAAATCCCTCACTCTTGAATACTGCCATTAAAATGGACCCAATCTGAGCTCTCCCTGAATGCAGCTGGAGTTAAGCTTTACTGTCAAACTTCACTGAATTCCACCAAACAGTCAGAAATACTTATTTGCCTCARTAAAACACACTGCTCCCTCTCCTTTGAGTGACCTGCATTTTACTCATCTGTGACAATTATGCACCTAACGATGGCTACCAGGTACAGCATCAGCAAGACGATTTTCAACACCCTCTTTCAACACCCTGCAAGGTCTTGAGCACCCTGTTTCCCTTCAGAGAGCATCATCTGCACTCCTCTGCAGGTGGAGTCGGCTTTAAAATGTCTCTTGCACGGTCAGCTGAACTGCTCCAGGGGCAATGAAAGCAAAGAGAAACTCAGTGCTTCAAACTCACCAAGTAACACCAAGTTAACAGAACCAAAAAAATACACACACCTCAGGGAAAAAGAACCACAGTCCCCCAAAAGCCAAATGTAGGTTGCCATTGATATCAAAGGGGCCAGGATTCTTTAAAAAACCCGGGAGACTTAAGAGAGAACATGTGAAAAGGGAGAATGTTACCCTTTATTCCCTCAGGACATCAATACTGGTATTCTGCTGACTTGTGCTCCCCTTTCATTTCAACTCACTAAAATTTCCAACAAATGATGAAGAACACCCTTGTGGTATTACATGCTGGCAAAAAATCTATTTTCTATCCCACTGCAGGAGATGGAGTCATACTACCTCTTTACTTAACAAAAAGACCATTTCCTTGAGTATGTATTACCTTAGCAGCAGCAGATGCTCCACTTGTCTCTGTTTTGAGGGGCTGGCTGACATTAGCACTTGCTTGTCTCTTCTACAAAAATAAAAACACATAATAAAGGTCAGAAATTTTGATGAGGAAAAAGTAAAGCCAAGCAAAACTGAAAAAAAACCCCAAACCAAACCAAAACAACCAAACCCCAAGTATTAAAAAACGAAGTACACTTAAAAATGTCATTAGAACATTTTTGCAAGGCAAGTCATCAAAGAATGAATTCTCCCGCATGACTTGAATTCAAACAGGCACATTTCASAGCCCAGAAAGTGCACACCCAGGACAGGCCGAGTTCTCTTGCAGTGTTTTATGGAGGACACATAAATCTGTGCTATTTCCTGTTGCACAGAGACTGCATTTTAAGTTAACAGTTAAAGTAACAGTAACTGTATATAAAGTATCACGAAAATAATGGGGAAAGCCATTGCTGTTCAGACAGAATGTGAATGACTAACCAGGAGGTAACATCCACAGGCAGGGAAGATAGAAAGCTGAGGGTAAAATTAGAGTTTTTTCTGAGAAGCACAAGATTCACAAAACAATTAAAGCTTTCACATTTCAACTGCTCTGCAAAGCAGGTCAGGATGCAGAAGGACCAGAGATTCAAACAACAAACTCAGAAGCACCAGTTTTCAATGGAAGGGACACCAGATTTGTAACAGTGGRAAATCCAGAGACCTCTACCACCAACATAATTCCACCTCCTGTTCTCTTTCTGATTTTAGCTTGAAAACCTGGAGATCACCTGGAGCAAACACAGATGCACATTCAATAGCCACCTCCAGTACAATGATCACCCACTGTGGCCATGTACACAAGGTTAACATGACCAATATATGGCCCAAATCTGGTACCGACACTAACAGAGAGGGATCTTACATCAGGGACATCACACTTAGCACTGGTCACACTGGAGACAATGACATCCCAGTAAGACTTCACAGAATGCTGCAAAACCCAAAGCTAAAAAACAGCGATTTTTGCCTGTTAAAACGATGTTAGGAGTGCCCCAGCTCAGAACCCTCCTGCACAGCTGCTGAAGTCCAGTGCTGCCCCAGTCCAGACCTGCCCAGCCACTGGAGGCCAGAACCTGTGGTTTCTGCCCAGGCTGAGGAATGTGGTTAGAGGTAAAAGCAACAGCAAAACCCAGAGACACACAGAATTCAATTCGTCACAGCTCCTCTCCATCCTGTGTCAGACAGATTTGTCTTGATATTTTCTCGTCTGACCACACATTCCTAAGGGAGCACACAGCCTCCTTCCAAATACTCTTCAAACCTTGTTAAAATGAACATTTTTAATTCCCTCAAGGAGGAAACAGTGTTCCAGCACAAGTGGTAATRATCCTGAAGGCTGGTGATGGAGGTGTGATGCCTTAGAATTTTACAGAGACAGTACAGAGAGGCAGAACACCTTGGGCTTTGTCTCTGACATAGTGCTCTGAAGACTCTGTAATTAGCATTATCCACAAATCCTTCAATTTTTTGTTGAGCTGTCCAAGTAGTTTGAAGTGTTAGACCCCCTTTTAAAAGAGGAAGAAAAAAGAGTCAAACAAGCAAAACTCTGAAGAGCAATCAGTATTGTGGGCACGCTTGAGCACCACAGATCTTGACTGCCACCTCCTGCTCAGCCTTTGGCTCGGGGTTCATGGTGTTCAGGATTTACCTGTGCTACCAAAAGTTATATCTAACAGAGCTGTGATGCTCTGAAAATATCACAGGATCACAGAATTCCACGAATCCACAAAGTACAGCTTTAGAGAAGGGAGTCTTTATGACACCTACCAAAATTGCAGGCACAAGGGTAGCTTTCACCACCCCCACCAAGTCTGAGCTACAAAAATACTTCAAAAATCAAAACGAACTAAAACAAACGAAAACAAACTGATTTAAAAAAAAAAAAATCCCAAAACAACAACAACAGCAACAAAAAATCCCAAACCGCTCCAAAATGAAAATAAAAAAAAAACAGGCCAGAAACCAGAAACAGAAAACCCCACTCCCCAAGATCAGCCCCAAAAAACCAAGGAAAAAAAACAATGCCTACCCCCGAAACCAAACAAACAAAAAAAAGCCCCCTCCAAAAAAAACACAACCAACTAACAGGGTGAAATAAATCCTTGCTCAGAGTATGAAGTTATATTAATAAACTTAGCAGAAAAAGGAAAAAAATGYTAATGCGAACATTTGTTTGGTGGTAAGCCAAATGGCAATAAAACATAAAGAAAGGAGAGAGAGAAGAAACAAATACATTCTCCTCTGGAATAGAGAAAGACTACCTGGAGATGAGCCAAGTGGAAAGTTAAGTCACCAGATCAAATGAGTATTAATTAGTGAATCCTGGCCACTACACATTGAGTAATATGTATTTTAGTTCCCAGAGTAATTTCTCAATAGAAACTTCTTTGGTATCTACCCCTCAATACATTTGCAAAAGCAGAAGGACTGGCCATATAATTTAATTAGGTTCATCCTTCTTTCACTCTGATTAAAATAAGGATGTTCTGGTGTTTCCCTAAGTGTTCCCTCCAGGCAAACCAGCTCCAACACCCTTTATTGACAAATACATCAGAGCTGTTCCCATCTTCTCCCCCACCAAGAAGTGGAAAAGTATTTCTCTTCTGTGACAGACTCAGGCGTGAACAGCTGAAAAACTACTTTGCAGCTGTACTCACACCTTACTTCCCAACCTGATAATAACAGAGACCAKGAATCACCAAAGCACAGAGTGTTTATGAAATGAGTTAAAAGAATCATGGGCTTGTACAGAACTGTGCATGAAGGAATAAAAGCGGTGGCACACAGGTACTTATAATCTACTTTTCATTATTAGCAGTGGTTTAAAAAAAAACAACAAAAAACACAGTTTCAGAGTGGAGTATTAATTCTGCAAGTTTAAYAAAGGCAGGGTGAAGTTTACATCCTTCTAATAAGCAGATTTTCTAARGAAAGACATTTATTAAGACTGGCATCCAGAAATGTGGACTAAATGTTTATTTTAGACTACAACATTCAAGTGTTCGTTGTAATATTGCAGTAAGAATGCATACGGCACACTTGTTTTAAGGAAGAAAAAAACCCACAAGAGACAAGAATGTGCAATCTCTGTTCTGAAAATGCTTTCGACAACCATCAGCAGCATTTCAGCCTCCCTCTATCAATCTTTCATTCAAGATCAGCTCAACAGCATTCACCCTATAATCTTTGTGCAGGCAGAGACTTACATTGTAACAGCTCTCAACCTTTACCACAATTTAAGTGAAATAATATTATTTTTCAACTAATTTGGCATTTTAGTCAAAAGAAGCATCAAAACAGAAAAGGGAGACAGACAAAGGAGCTAATGCTGTGCTTTTCAGAACTCTTCCACTCCTCCAGATTAAAGCCACAATCCCCTGTGTCAGTGTCCAAAGTGCCGTGGGGTGTGAGGAGGAAAGAAAACAAACAAACAATGCACTTACATATAAATACTTCGGTATACAAAGTGGAAAGAAACCTCACWAACACTGCAGATGAAAGTTACCCATGCACTTCCCCTACTCAGACCAGCAGGGGGCACCCCAACAGGACTGTCACCAGTTATAATGCCTTTACTCAGCATTAATGCTGTTTTGGAATAAGGACGCCTAAGTGGCAGGTATCAGGATTAAAACCTATGACAGACATACTGATTTCAGAGCAAAGAATCAATTCTAAAATGATTGAGATGCTTTAGCACCAATCATCACTGTCATCCTTTCAAATGAAAGCATGTATTTCCTGGTAAGTACAATGAGCTCAGCAAGCAGCACATGTTCTGCCTACAGTGCTGCAAAGAACAACTCAGAATTCCAGGACACATTAGAGAGGGTCGTGTTTCACACCAGGAAACAGGTAATATTTTACCATTACCTGGTAAAATATGGCCTCACTCTAGGCTGGGGCTTCCAATCCCTAGAATATATGGCTCTGTCTCCACTTTTAATATCACATTCTCACATCCAGACAGCAGCCATGCACAGGCAGGGCTTTTACACAGATACAGAACCTCTCCTTGGTATTTCCCTCTGTGACAGTAAAAAGAGAACAGGTTTTATTATGAACATATATTGTAACATATCAATAATATATTATTAACATAGATCCACTCAGAGGAGTGTTTCAGAGCACAGCCACACACAATGTGAGCACTTTTTCTGCATTGCTCTTGTGAATTTCATTTGGCTGTGCAGCAGAACACACYCTGCCCCCAAAGCAGCCCTCTGACAGGGAGCACTGACTGCACATGGAGTGCAAGAATAGGACAGCAGGACCATGCACCTCACTACAGTGCAAGACCTGCCTTCCTGAGTTTGGGTAAGTTTCATTTTTATCACTTCCCTGTCTCTAGTAGTAGTCAACAGCAAACAGAAAACAAAATCAGTGACGTAGAGCAAGAGTATTTTKAAGAAATATCAACAGTTCATGTTCATACTGATATTTCTTCTAAATACTCTTGCTGGCTCAAACAATTTGTGAGCCAAAGACTTCTTTACTTCAGTGTATTTCATAAATCATCCTGGGTTTTTCTTCAGTGATTTTGTCCCATCTGCTCTTGAAAACATTTATATTTTAGCATACAAGAGCTCCTAGAGCACAAGTGCCCCAATGGCCTCAAAAGTGGAAGTGACCTGTAACTAGTAGAAAGGCACACACATACACGTAAGCTGAAGACAACGTCAAGATGAGGGATTAAATAAACCCACACCAGCTGTCCCTCATATGCTACCAAATTGCTAAAAGCCTTAGAACACCAGAGGGCAAGGGAGAGAAAGGAAATTTACTATTTCAAACATTTAGCAATGGCATGCTGCAAACACGTTGGCTCAGGACCACGATGTCACATCACAGTGAGAGAACAGAGGGACAGATATGKGAAAAGTGCAGGCAATCGCTCACTTTTACAGGGTGACAGGTGCATCCCAGCTGCAGAAATATGCCACAGCTTCAAGTGCATGAGCATCCAGCAATTCCGACAACTACCATACACACACAAGGAGTGAAAACATCTCCATCAAGTTGAACTAGATTTTTGAGAAATGTGTTTTTTTCCTCTTTGAATTGTGAACTCAATAAATGTAAGGTTCTAACAACCAAGACAGGAAGATTTAAGATTGATTCCTGTGGYTTGAGCCTTTGTCCTGGAGCAGTGCCCAACACAACATAACACACGCTTTTACTGACATTTACACTGATGAAGAACTGCCTTTATTTTTTTCAATTACTATTCTAAGACTTCTGAACTTTCCAGCACACCTTGTACCTGTTTCTACCAGGCCCCATGCACAGACACACACTCAGCTGCTAACCATGAGACTGACAGACTGTGTGAATCTCAACCTAAACCTGACCTTTCCTGTGCAAGCAGATTCCCCATCCTATCTAAATTTAAAAGCTCGAGCATCACTGCAGAAATGATGCAGACAAATATGGCAGTATCTCTCCTCTGCTAACATCTTTTAGCAATGAAGTGATGGAGACCAATCTTTCCAAGGACAACATGGCCCTGTCAACCACAGTTTCACAGTTCCATCCCTTCTGTGCAACTCCATGTCTTACCAAACAAGTAATCTATCCACAGTAATCATGCTGTTTTCTTCAGTCTGCTTTAGACCCTCCCAGAAGAAAGGCTTAAGAACTCCGTTTTACACCCTAAATGTTCATTTTGAATTCCCCTTGATGCCGCAGCTAACTGGCATCTCCCACTCAAACCAGTGCCAGGCCTTTCCCACCTTTGCTTTTCAGAGCTCTGCTSTCCTTCTCTCACTCCTTCAGGACACTATACCTAAAGAATCTGAGATACAGAGCTGTTTGTTGTTATACTTAGTAAAGCAACAACCATACTGGATTTTATGTTTTCCTTTCAGTATGGATAAAAACTCTTCAAAGACCTTCAAATTTTCTTGTAATTTTCATAATGCCAAACCTTTTCTACGTAGGCAGGTGAACAAACTCAAGACATATCCAAGACAACACTGCCCATCAACTCGCTACAGTTGGATTATAACTTTCTCCATCAAAAAATTGAAGACTACAGCAATTATCTCTAACTTTTAAATAAAACTGTAACATTGCACACTCCCCAGAAAGTTGCATAAAGATTTTGAGTTGCTTCTCCAGCTGCTTAACAAATCAAGAGTGTTTTGGAGGAAAGTATGAGTCACAGTGGAGTTTATGTCCCTCAATGAGTCTGTGGAAGAGGGTTTTGATCTATTTCYACTTTTAAGTACAGCAGTGTGCATGGAACCAGTAAAACATACAAGGCAATTCACAAGAGGAAACACACACTCAGTGTTCTAAGGACTCAAAAAGCAGAAGTATCCGGACAATAAACTTTAGCACCAGCTAAAGCTTTTCCAGCACTTGTTTTGCTGGAAACAGATCTTCTTAATGAGAGGTCACAAACATTGGCTCCAGCACCCCAAAGTATAGGCCTCTGCTCCCACCCTTCCCAGAAAAATGTAAGCACTTCTCTACTAAGAAGAACAATGTGCAGTCACACAATATAACATTAAACCAAGAAAGTATAAAAGCACAACAGTACTTATGAAAAAAACAAACTCTCTAGAGAGGAAAGGAGGAACACGTTCTCAGGCTAGAGAAGCCTTCCTTGCTTTCTGGACAGGAAAGAAAAGCAATTGCTTAAATCATCTACTTCAGAGGACTGTAATAAAAGCATTCACTGGCCCTGATTTGCYGTGCAGTCAAACAGGCTTAGGCAAAGTTATTTCCCACACAGCTTTTGCTCTGGRTGAAGCATCAGGTGGAAAGCATCACAGTGCTTTCACTCCACCTACACTTCTGGGCAACTGCAAATCCATGCCATCAAATGTGTCCCATACTGTACTGCCACTGAACAGTAGAAAACCCCACTGAGGTAACTTCTACACATGCCAATGTGAAGAATTAGGGAAAACAGGGACAGAGAAAAAAAATTAAAATTCCAGCAAGTTGCTCAGCAGCACAAGACAAAACTAAACATTCCAGGGATGAATAATGACTGACTGGAGTCATTAGTATGTTGTCCAAAAACTACTGCTTTGCTGTCAAAAGGCAAAAATCTGTATAGGAGGAAATTCATTACCAACTTTCCTTCTTAATAAGTTCAAACACTTGAATTTACCTCTCCCACTTCTGCTTTTTTCTCTCCTGACATTGAAGAATCTTCACTTGCYTTCTTGTCACCATGCTGTAAACAGAGAAAATAGATGTCTATTAAGCTATTAAGATCTTAAGTCCCATCTTCTACACAGAGCAATTCTTAAAATTCTTAATGCACGGATGATTCCTTTGTGGTACCACAGTTTGACAGAAGGGAATACTAAGTTTTTCTTCTTGCTAATCGACACGATTTCTAAATGACCTGCTGGATAACTTCTAGAGAAATCAGACACAAGATCATGACTCTTAGAGCAGTTACATGACTGTGAAAAGCTTGGAAGATATTCAGCTTATCATTCATCCCTCAGCACCACAGTACTCTCCAAAACTTGCTTTGGAAATGTCAGAACCACAGGCTTCTAGAAACTGAACAGCTCTCAGAGAGACTAACACAGTGCGTGCAACACACTCCAACATCTGAACTTCACTCAGACACACTGATTATACCCAGCCCTCCTCACCAGAAAGAAAGCTGTTACCGTGATTGCTGTAATTCTGGCACTGACAMAGAAAATAATATATGCTCAAATAGCTCACATTAGGAAATACAGTTCTCCCAGGACCCCTGAACCTCCTGCRTATTTTATCTCCTCCAAGACTCTAAACCACTTCCTTTCACCTAGTCTGATGTACAACCTCAGTTGTGCAGCAATGTAAAGAAAGACACATTTTGCTCAGCATACACACTGGCATTTAGCACAAGTTGTATCTATCTGCCTCTCTGGAAAGAGGTCGATACAGTCACTCAAAAAACCTTTTTCAAAAATAATACAAGAAAAAAGCAAGAAGTTAATGTAAAAGGCAAYATAATACAGTTACTCTCTAGTGTCTCAGCTAGTATAACTTCCCACAGCAACTGAGACAGCTGGGAGGGAGGATTCACGTCTGGTCTGTTTTGTTAAGTAAAGACAGGAGATGATTCAAGACCCATTTATTCCCTTCTGTTTTCAGGACTGAGCAGCAGGAGGTAAAGTCTGCTAATCCACGATGTAATGAGTTCCTGCAGATTTTTCTTTACATGGCTATAGGGAGAAAGTAATGATCCATGTATCACTGCACTATCTTCAACAGGAATCAGTTCCACCACATCAGCAGGAAAAAATACTACAGCAACAAAAATTTCAATAATAGTTTTGAACAACCTCTAACGATTCAAGTTTTTAGAATGAGTTTGGTTATGACTAAGATACTTGACAAGTTTTAAAATTGGAAATGCTATATTCATATTCCAATTGTGCCTCTTTAGAGGAAAAACAAGCCCTATTCAGGTAAGAGATTAATTGATTCACTGCTCCATAACAGCACTTCCAGTACAGATACAATTTACCCAGCTATCTGTGCTTTTTACTGCTACAATAAAAGCAGATCACACACATATCAGTAAGAGCAACGTCAATGAGTGTGCTGTTTCTGACAGAACAGGAATTTAGAGCCAGCACYGCCATATAGCTCAGGAGCTAAAGCAGAACTCTGTTGATGAGGACTTTTCTTGTATGGACACCCTCAGCATCAAAATGCTCCAAAAGCCGAATGTTACCCTGAATCTACTTATAAAAGTCTTYTACTGCTTTTGTTTATTTTCTTCTTCAAATTCAGACATACTTTAAAAGCAGCAACACCAACTGATGTGTAGGGTTTCTTCTGTTTTTCTTTTAGTAAACAAAGTCAGGAAATGTAGGAACGAAATACTTACCTTCATGCTGAGTATGCCAGACATTTACCACAGATRAATCCAGAATTACCCTTCCTCCCTAAGTCCACCTCCTCACCTTCATTCCAAAGAAACCCATAGCAGAACATGGCACCAAAAGGGCACTCAGACCCAGGACTAGGAAGGGAGAGGTATGGAAGGGGACTGGCAGGATTATTCYCTCAACATCACTCAGGCAGAACAACTCTATATCCCTGAAGGACYCCAGGGCAGCTTGTCTGTCCAGGAAGGATATGGAATGCACCAGGAAAAGGACCACAACTTTGCTATCCCTAAACTCAAGTCAGAGAAACATTAAAAGCATGACATCTTCCCTGCAGAAGGCTGTGTCAAATAGCTTCTATAATAAAGAGACTTTGACTCAGAGGCCAAGTATGTTTATTCCAGCTGAGGGAACAAAACACATATGGTCAGACCAAAGTAGTTTGTTGGGTTTTTTCCCCTAGTAAGTTGAGTAATGCAGTGTGTACAGACAGAGTCCTGATACTCTCTGGCCTCAGACAATCAAACAGCATGTGGAAGTACTGCCTCGCAGGAAAGTCTGCTGTCCTGAAGAGGTAGCCTCGGAAAGCACAGCTTCACAATACACCTGAGAAAACCGTGAGGGTTCCCTGAACAGATGATGCATAAGGTATGATAAGTGACCCAATTTCAAAAACACCCTTCAACAATTCTTATCTGCATTTCCAAGCTTTGAACCCTCCAGTAAAAATATCAAATAAACAACTAAAATAAAGGCAATAAATCAATCTGCTTAGTAGGAACGTTAAGTTCAGGTTTTGTGGGGCAGTACATGCACTGCTTTCATATTCACAACTTGTGATGACAAGCTGACCTTTTCTTTRAGCACTTTTTTCTTTTCCTGCTTATCTTTCCTTACAGTCCCAAAGATACATATTCATAACCAAGTCAGTGGATCAGAGCAGCTCCAGCTCTCTCACATCAACAGTGGGTGTACAGCTGAAGTTACATTTCTAGTTTAACTCATGAGCTAACAATTCCTTTTAGCTTTTAAGCTGGCCCAAAATATTTTCCAACTTTACTAACTAAAAAAAACCACACAAGCCTACCCATAATCATATGTTCACAAAAATACATAAAGTGTCATGAGCAAGAAAGTTTATCCTGAGATCTTCATCCTGTTCTAAAGTGCACAAAAAATGTCACCACACTATTGTTTCAGACACATCTTTAACTTCTGACTCAAACAGCATTCAGAAACTAGAAATTAACTGGTGGAAAAGCACAGAGCAAATTACTAGCAACTGAATAGACACCTTTGTGTGCAGAAGTCCAACCCCTCACTAAAGGCTTTGCTTCCAACAAATTCCTTCTAAACCTCAAGAGATTTAGAAGGCATTAACAAGCCTTTGGTTTAAGGCYATTGCACAGCATCTCGGAGTGCTTGTAGTAACTGGGGGAGAAGTGAAATCTTGCAAGTTTCTCAGATGAAGCCAGCCAACTCTGGAGTACAGATGTTACAGGAGATGGGAACCTGACCTTCGCTCTCAGCTGAAACTGGGAGGAAGACAGAGATCTGTGACACTCTCAGGAAACTGTCAGATGCAAAGAGGTGCTGGGGGAGCTACAATCAAGCCAGGTAAGGAATTGAAAGGTGAAACCCAGGTTCTTAGTTACATCCAACCCCAGCTTTACATACACCAGCCAGTAAAAACCTTCCTAGACCCGAATCACGTGAACATCCTTTTTGTCTGTTCTTCTCTTCACCCACCTTTTCTGCCTCTCCTACCTCCCCAGTGTGAATCACATTCACGGGAGAGGACTCCAATTCCAAGGGGAAACCCCGCAACTGCCARTAATCACAACCACGGGTTTCAAAAAGACCAGATGTGGAGCAGCTTTCTTACCTGATCGTAGGCAGTCATATCTTGGTATCTTTTCTCATGCTGGATGCAGTGACACAGAGCTAACAAGGCCTTTATTAACATCCATTTCATCAYTTAATGCTGCTGTTCCCAAACTTACCCCTTTGTCATTTTGTGTCAGCTCCACCACACTGATTTGACTTGACACAATGACAGATACCTGAAAACTCTGCTGAACACTGAGGTGARCTACATGGAGCAACTTGAAACTACAGTTGTAACTTCAAGAGATTTCATCCACCTGAGCATGTATTTAGGAAATACATTAAAGTGATGTKTTCTCTGAAAGCCACCTTTCATAATGTATACTTTCTGTAAAACTTTTACAGAATGCAAATCTTTTTTTTTTTTTTTCACTACTCCATACAGAGACCAATGTTTTCCTCCTATGAGTAATAAACCATAAAACTTTCTTAAAGGCTTTTTAGAGCCCTTTAAAGCAGTCATGGCCTCGTCACAGTAATGAGCAGCGACCCAAGTCCATCCAAACCGCGTGGAGCCATCTGAGTGCTRTAGTTTGCTCAAGGAGGATCTGGCAAGACACAGCTCTTCCCGGCAGCACCGCCACCACCCACCTGCAGCGAAGAACGCGCTCCTGGAAAAAGGCGCAGCACAGTTTTTCCCAAAAGAGGAACAGCCTCACATAAAACCCTGCCTTACACTGCCAATCGCCGCATTCTGGTGCTGTTTCGTCACCTGCGCTATTCGAGAGACGACGATAACACCCAACTACCAAAACCCCGTTTTCACTGTCGATTTCTGACAGAGGATGGGATGCGGAGGGAAAGACGGCCAGAGAGCACTGCGCTTCCACCTGACCTGAAGTTCTGGGCTGTTTTGGTTTTTTTTTTTTTTTTTTTTTTTTTTTTTTTTTTTTTTTTTTTTTTTTTTTTTTTTGCTGTCTCGCCTCCAGCCGCACCACAACCCCCCTTCCTTACCCCATCTCCATGCCGATCACGGGGGAGCGGCGAGAGCATCCCGCCCTCTGAGCCCGCCCCACCCCGCGCCCTCCGCCCGCCGCTCCCGGGTCGGTCCCGGCTCCCCACCGGAGTGGTCCCGGCTCCCCAGCGGGGTCTCTTCCCCGCACTCACCATAGCGTACCACCAGCGAGCGAAAGCCATGGCGCTGCGGTTGCTGCTCCTGCCCGCCCTGCCCGGCACTGCCCGGCCCGGCCTGGGACGCGCCCTGGGCGGTGCCCGGCGCGGAGCCGCTCCCCCTCAGGGCCGCGGGGCACCCGGGGCAGCGCGGAGCGGCCGGGCCGCCCTCCTCACACCCCTCCCCGCGTCCCCGAGCCCGCCTTACCGCCGCGGGCAGCGCCTGCCTGCCCGGCCCGGCCGCCGACATGCCGATCCCGGGCAAGAGGAGCGGGGCTCCCGGCTCCTCGGGCGGCTGGAGCGGCCTTCGGTCCCTCCCCTTCCTGCCGGGGCCGAGCCGGGACGGGGGAACCGGGGGGGCCGCGGCTCCGGCATGAGGCGGCGGGGAGCGAGCGGGGAGCCCGTGGCGGGGCGGCGCTCAGCTGGAACGAGCGTGGCTTTTCTTCAAAATAGCGTGGTTTAATCGGGGGAGAAGAGCGCACACTTTTTTTCTTCTCACAGAAGTCTTGGAAAAGCTTTTGGGTGTGGATAGCCGACCCTAGGCGGGTTTCAGTCTCCACGGCAGCTCCCGGCGTGGATCTTGCCCCTCACGGCCACATTCCCCGGCCGGAGCCGGCCGGAGGGTGCTTGGGGCTGCTCCAACACCCGGCTCCTCCACCGGCCTCCCTCCAGCTTCGGCACCCCTGTTCCTGTCACAGCCTCTTTCTCCAGCCTTGCCATTCTGGCTCGTCCTCTGACAGCTTCCCTCTAATTTCGGCATCCCTGTTCCACAGCCTCTCTCCAGCCTTGGCATCTGAATTGTTCCACGAGCCTCTGGCTCCTGTGCCATCTCCCCTACAGCTGTGCTACCCCGGCTTCTCCACTGGTTCCGGCTTTGGTTTCATCTTGGTGTGAACTCATTCCCACCATGCAAACACACTTGGGTTGGAAGCTGGTTGGGCATCCTGGGGGTTGGTGTGGTGTTAACTCTCCCATCCAGGGGATTTGTTGCAGGTCAGGTTATAAAGTGGAAAAAACAGAGACTCTGTGCAGGAATGGGGAAGCAAAAGAAGCAAAAGAAGTCAGTGTTTGGGATGTTCTGTGTACGGGAATGCCAGGTTCAGGCTGGATGGGTGGAACAGATATCAGATGAGTTGCACTCTACTCCAAAGAGGTAACAGCAGCATCTCCTGAACACATTCTTGCTCAGGAGTCCCTGTCTATCAGCATCCAGAGACCCTGTCTATCAGTAGGAGGAAGGAAAATAGTCCTGGACTTTGGGGAATGCTCAACACCTGCTACCTTGGGGAAGAGGCAGTAGGACAACCCTCGTGGGAGGAAGCCTGTAAACCCAATTAGTGCCTATGGACTTGGCTGTAAGACAGGAGACAAGTGGRTGAGGTCTTCCCTCAAGATCTTGGGAAAGAGCTTTAATTGTAGAGATAGAGGGAATATTCATATGGGTCTGCCTAAATCTACCCCTGCTTTTCCTTTCTGATTAGATCCTTGCTGATGTCTGAAGTGTTTCAGCCAGACAAAGTGGAGGCAAAGGCTACATCTAATGCATAGCTTCTACTAGGGGTTGGTGTATGCAGGTTTACCTGGGGTCACTCTGACAGGTCTAACAGATTGTGCTGCATTCCTCAAGCTGCCGGCAGCAGACCCTCCCTGCTGGCAGAGTGCTCCAGGGAGCCCTCAGGAAGCATCACCCATCTCACTGCAGATGTGGCTGATGACAGACAACTGGAGCTGACAGTAATTGGAGTGGTGGAGTTGCGCAGGAACAAGGCAGTAATCCATGAAACCCTTGATGATATCAGCCTGTGTCATGCTGGACATCCAGGCTTCTGCTGGCCCAGAAGCACATCATCAGTTCCAGCTCTGCTGGTCGGTTCAGTTCATAGATGAGGTTCGAACACTACTGCATAAAGGAGGGGAGCTGTCCCGATGCTTGCCCCGGTTCCTGCAGCTCTTGCAATGTTTTATAAACTGACTGGGCTTCATCGAGCCTTGCAAGGTATTCTCACTTTAGGGCCAAGAGTTTGGCATTGTTTTTGCTATTAGAAGGCTCCTCTAGCTTGCAGCTGTTTCAAGAAACCATTGTTCACTGGCAATTTCTGCCTAAGATTATTCTTAACTGGTTGAAATTACTTTTATATGCAAAGGATGTAGGCAGCATGCATTTACCTGGGGATGGAAAAGCAGGTTTTTGTTCATCTGACAGAAGTCAGCTGATGGATGCCTGAGTCAGATCTTTTAATAGTGCAGGCCTAAACACCACTCCAACAGTTTACTCATTTGGGTAAAGATTTGGGTCTTTGAGCTGGGCAGTTGCTAGTAATTATCCGTCACTCTGATGCTTTAATTAGAACGAGTAAGTTTTGTTTGCAGCAGCATACAAGTGTGTGGTACTAAAATCAAACACTGTTTTCTGTTGCAGTTCCTACTTACTCCTTCCGAGCATCTGCAAATTAACAAATCCATTGATGCTTGCTGAGGTTTTACATGGCATTGGCCACAGAGTTCTGCACAGGGCTGATCAGAAACAGATGCAGGGGATGATGGACAGCACAAACATCAGGCTTTTCAATGTGTATTGGCTAGAAAAAGGGCAGGTCGCCACATCAGAAACACACAGGTTGTTCTTTACTGCAATAATGTGTGATGTGAACAAATATCAAGAAAGAGTTTGTGTGCTTTTAATAGTCACAGATACATTTCCATGTAATTTCAGGTATTAGGAGTCTAAAATTGGAATGAAGAATTTTCCCCGCCGTGCCTTGTCTCCAAAGGGCACCAGTTGACGTCAAATGCCTCCCAATAAAAAGGTGCTCAAAATTCTGGCAGGATGGGATGAAATTTTTGCCAAGCATACATATTTTATTAATATAACTTGCATAATGGTATGACTGCAAGCTTATGAGTCATTCACAAAATCTACAAAATAAAGTACAAAATCTCTTGTGTAACTGAATTTTTATCTAGGGTAGTTAAAAGAAGTCTAAAGTAAGCATAAAGACTACTTAAACAAATAGGTTTTCCAATCTCTTTCCRCGTCTTCCTGTGGTTTACAAAAAAACTTATCACAAATTTTTGTTCTGTTGTCTTCCTCTGAAACTCTAAACCATCAGGATTTCCTATTTTTTTCTTTTTAATTGGATCCATTCAGTCCCACCCAGTTTTAACACACAATAACAAAGACAAGTACCTTTCAATTCTTCCTCTACTCTTTTTGTTCATAGCATGTTCAGTAAATGGAAATTGGAATTTTAAGTAATGGAATTTCTGTTTGTTGATAAGTGTAGTTTGATAACATCCTAGCTCTAAAAAGAAACAATTACAATCCTTACTATTGAAAAGGAAGGTTTCTTTCCATATCTATGGATTCATATATTTCTGCATATATTGTAAACATCTTTAATGACATATGTTATAAACATCTTTAATGACATAAATGGTAAGTCCTCTGTTCAATTATCGAGGTCTGGAGAGACCTCCTGGTCTCCATCCCACTGATGAATGGAGATTTTCTCTCCTCAGACAGAAGACGTAAACTTTGACACCGACCAAGAGAAAATTAGAGTCTTGCTTGAGGTATGGTATTTTGTAATTCCCTAATACTGAGCTGAAATTTAATTTAAAAAAAAATTCAAAATTAATTTTGAATAATTTCTGGAGACATATTTGGGTGATATGCCTGAAAATTTTTATTTAYCTGAATTTTCTCTTTCATTACATTGAAATGTGGCAAATCCCTAAATTTGGTACAATGTATCACATACAAACCTGAGGGAAAAAACCCCCAAACTTTTAGCCTTCATCATCTAGAACTCTGTTCCCCATGCATTTGGTCCTTTCTTCTCTATGCAACTTCTGCTAGGGAAGCCAAATGGCGCTGCTGTCAGTTCTTGGAGTCAGCAGAAATTCAAGGTAGCTAACTTGAGGCCCACATTATAAATTAAACAAATGTAATATTTGCTTTTAGCAAACCACAGGCATTTTTCTGGACTGGGTACAGGCGCAGGCGAGGTTATGACCCCAAAGTGAGTCCAAAAGGAAGAGCAGCACGATGAATGAGGCGTTGCCCCAGTGAATCTCAAACATTGCAGCTATGCAGGAGTGGCCAGCCTGTAGCTCACGTCTGTCTGCTGGTTTTATCCGAAAAGAACTTTCCCAAGATGAGATGCATTCTCTCAGGTGTAAACTAAATTATGAAATTACAGAAAAATATATGACCTATGTCCCATTGCTTTTTATAAGCTTGATTTGTACAAAGATTTATACATATGAGAATTACAATACCATTTTTCTTGGATTCTTAAACTGTAGGGTTAGAGTACTCTATAGGCAGAAATTGCAGATSGGTGAGCTCTGTGACTGGTGAGACAGAAAAGCCTTGTGTATTTAGGAATATGCTTTAAACTCCTTATACTCTAAGGGTTTCAAAGTCAATAGGAATCCATGCTAACAAAATAAAACACATAGCTTTTAAGTACAGCTTACCTTGTCAACTAGCAGATTTTTGGAAAATGCTTTTATCTGYAATCATAAAATCCATGCAGATTAAAAATTCTGTGTACTCGTTGGACATTCTCTCACTTAATCTCCATTTGSTACAGAAACAATGATTTGCTTGGGACTGATAGCATTCCCTCCAGTGCCACAGTGCACTTATCCTTAATCATCAAGGTGAATAATCCTCCCCTCAGGACACTAGTCTTCTCCAGGTGAAATTAATCCTGAGATTCTTGGTATTAAGGGAGGCTTCCCAGAGGAGGGGTTGCGAAATATAGTTGCTGTTTTGTGAAACGGATCCAGTAAAGCAAGTTAAAAATTGTCTGCTTTGGTTTGCAGATGCAGTGGGTGACTTTTGATCCCAGGATGATGAAGAAAAGGTTTTATATGTCATCACATCTCTGCTTCTGTTTTGTTTTGTAGTTTCTTTTCCTCCCTATCTTACCCATGCACAGATTTAAGTGCAATCAAGGTTGAAAAAGCCCATAGATTAAACTATGRTTTATAACAAATCCAAAAGCAAAATTAAACTATTGTTCAACTATTTTATATATAGTGTGCATATATATTCATACATAAATATCTTGCAATTGTTTGGTACAAGTATATGATGTAACGCACTACATTACTAACCAATGTTCTCATGATTCACAGGTTGAATAAAAGACTAACTAACTGAAGAAGAACTCAAAACAACTCTGATAGGTATAATAAATTTGCACTGAAGTCACATGACAAAATGTTAGCATAAGAGASAATTTTGACAGAAACCTTGGAGATCATCTAGGGCTAGGAATGTGAGGAAAAAAAACCTCATCCATCTGCCTCCATTCAGCCTTTGCAAGGGTTATCCAGGCCATCAGCCTGTAGATGGGTATCACCTGTAGCTGTCAGTGACAGAGGCAGCACGCGTTGACCATGGTCCTTTAATACAAAACAAACATGGTCACTTTTGCAGCTGTTCCTTGGGGCTTTTCAGGACCATGCTTCTGGGAGAGTATTGGCCACTGCTGGTTGTTATAAAACACAAAATGCTCTTTTGCCAGGGCTGCAAAAGAGCTCTTTTGCTTCCTGCTAGGGTTTGAAAATTCTTCTCTGATCCCTTGTTTGGGGAGTGATCCAGGGCAGGGGTGGAGTCACCATCCCTGACAGGATTTGAGAGAAATGTAGATGTGGTACTTCGGGACATGGCTGGTCTTGGCAGTGCTGGATTAAGAGTTGGACTCGATGGTCTCAAGGGTCTTTCCCAACCTAAATTATTTGGYGAATCTGTGATTCTTCTCATATTCTTTCAGCAGCTGTCTGGGAAAGAAGATGTCAGTAATTACAAAAGTACTCCCATAGTGTTTCCTTCTGCACTTGTGACATGGTATGGAAAGAACAAAACCTCTGGCAAACAAGAAATTCCTGTTGAGAGGGAGGGAAATTACAATGCTGGGCTCTCTCCACTCCATAAATGCAGGTTGGCTGGATGGGGGTTGGTGGATGCGGAGCATTTAGCAGCCTASTTAGCATCTGGTTCATCCTGTGTTTAACTTAGTTAACTAGGGCCTCATCTGAAAGTGACATTAACATGTTTAGAGCTGCATTAATRTTAACAATCTTGTATCTGCTTACAGTCTACATCCCTGAGTCCATTACATACACTGCTCTGCCATTTCTTCCCTCTTCAGATGTTTTCTCAGTTGCATGGATTAAGTTCTTCACCATCGTTGGCATGGCTCCCTACAGACTAAGTTTCACAAGTCTTTTCTTAGGTTAATACCACACTGGTGCCTCTTAAGAAGCTCAGTTTCTTGTCAAAACAGTACAAAGGAAGCCGAAGCAAGGACAGACTGGTACAGGAATGTTTTATGGGAAATTGTGACACTGCTTCCCAGTAAAGTATTTCTCTTTTCAGAAATGTGTGAAAACAAAGAGCTGGGATTGCTTGGAAGGGAAACATGGGCAGCACGGGAAGTATTTTACAGCTGTGTGTTGCTTTGAAGGCAGCAGTTTTCATCGTTAAACAGGCAAGCAAATTGAAGGGGCATTGAGCTAAACCATGGATAAGTGAGTATGAGGGCCATAGCACTTGGTGCAGCTGGGTGAAAGCCTCTGTGATGCACTGCTCAAGAACATCCCTGCTTGCAGCAGCTYCCCTTCCTGCCCATGCTCCTCTGAAATCAGACATATGGCGTTAATGAAGCCAAAGCSCGGATAGCTTCCACTCAGCACCATGGCTTTCTCTTGGGAGAAGTTGTCATCTCTCCTTTCTCTTTTAAGCTGCTGGCTTTGCATTGGCCCTGAGGWGTGTGGCTGAGTAGCCGTGCACTGCAGCAAAACCCAGTTCTGCACACGTTCAGGAGCAAGCATGAGCATGGGGGTGCAGAGAATTTGATTTGCGGTGAAAGCACTTGGTAGAACAACGCAGCACGATTTATATGTGGCTCGTGTGCAARTCATTATTAGCTGTGACAGAGGAGGAGAGTCTTTTTGCACATCACAAACCCACAAATCTATCATTTTTACGCAAAGCCACGTGCTGTTTCTCAAAGGAAAACAGCACTGTGAGCTGAGGCAATGCTCTGCTCCCTGTGGGCAGTGACCACCCTAATGCCACCTRTGGGTGTCCAGTGCCCTGCGCCGTGCTGTGTAGGTGACAGGAACTCCATCTRCAAACACACTATGGCTGTCACAAACGTGGGCAGGCAGCTCTGGAGGAACTTGGGTTTTGTGTGCAGCAGCCCCAAAACGTTGCAAAATCCGGAGTATTTCGAGTCACCACAGAGCAGCAGAGGACTAACAGCTTGGGGAAATGAATGTGTGTAGTGACTGGTGATGGCAGTGCCTATGACAGAGGCACCATGCCCAGGCTTGTACTGCCAGAAGCAGCCTGGCCACCCCTGCTCATGGCAGTGCTGTGCTCTGCCCTGGCACCAGGAAAGAAACCCTGCCTTGTGTCTGAATTCTCAGGCTACTTCCAGATGAGAAGCACAAAAGCTCCCTGGCAGGGGAGTGGAGCTGGACCCCCAGCATCTGTGCTGGGAAGTGAATGACACCCTTGGCCCATGCCTGCTCTCCCCTCACAGCTCTGCTGTGACTCACCCCAGTGAGCTTGATGACAGATATCTCCTGCTCTTCTCTCCTGAGGCTCCAGGCCGTAGTGTAGCAGTATTACTCCACTTCAGGGTGGAGTAAAAAGTTAAATAATTAATGTGCAATTATTAAGTGTGGCAAAAATAATAGCCTTGAGTGAGAAAATAAACTCATCCTTCTGTTAAGACCCTGAAAATAGATTATATTTTTGCAAATAACACAGTATGAGTGCAAGTGCCCACCTACTACACCAGGCAACAGGAAGTGCCTCCTCCATCACTCAGAATTTGTCGAAACGGGAGGAAATGTGGTCACTTGTTCTTGCCAGGGACCTACTTCAAACCTCTGCAAATATTGGCTTCCCACTGCCCTCAGTGAGTTTCAGATMAAGTCCAAAAAACATTATTTCTTCAGCGGTAAAGCGTGGAAACAGCACTTGGCATGAGCCAGGTTAAGAGACTTGCACATGCGATAATCCCCTTCCCCCGTGTAGGGGAAAAACCGGAAAAAATGGATAAATCAGGACACCAATATCTGTTAACCTTTTAAATAGGATTCCAGAAAGTTCTGCCAGCATTCTGTACTATTGTCAGAAGATACCCGATCCTTTTAAATCTCAAATCTGCTGCCAGTGTGTGTCATCGGGCTGCTAATTTGTAAAGAAGAAAGAGTCAAAGAGTTGTGTGCCACCTCGCCTGCATCTGTGCGGCGATGCCGACGCAGACTTTTCCTCCACATCCTCTGCTTGTACTGCCCAACCATGTGGGCTTACAGCAGGAGTCGAGAGACTGGCTTCGTATTCCGCAGGGAAAATCCCTGGGGAGCCAGGACGCCTCTGGGGATGGGAAATATTAAATACAGCCCATACAGCAAAATGCGAACGGGAATTCCAAAGCCCTGGAGGGCTTGGGGGAATTATGGCAKTGGTCTGAGGTGAGGAGCAGTATTTTTCTTGGACAGTGGTTTATCTTGGGGGACGGGTGCCCTGTTCCCAGATTTGGACGGGGTGAGTGCGTGACTGCCGCTGATTTTCCTCTCCCTCTGACCGCAATCCTGCCGTTCCCCGCTGCTCCTCGCTGCCTGCGTTCCGCCGTGTTTACAGAGCAGATCTTTATGAGATGCACAAGGCGTGACTCACCCGCAGCAGTGCCCGGGCTCTGGCAAATTGGATTGTTAGAGCTGAAACTTTCCTTTCCCTACCCTGACGCTGCAGACGAGCCGGGCTCCGCTCCACAGACCTRTTGACAAGACGGGGCTTGTACGCTTTGTTTCTCTTGTTTGTCTTGCCAAAAATCCTGTGCGGGAAGGTTCTCAAGATTCATTCTCACTCGGATCTGAATTTCTGGGCAGAGAGACATTTTTTAGACAAGTTAGACGCTACTGTGCTTGTGCTGTTGGGGTGTCTCCCGCCTGTTTGTGGGACAGCCCTGCCTCCCTCCTCCCATCCTTACCATGTAGGCCAGGGCTTTGTAAAACAGCCAAAGATTTTATACCCTTGTCTTTCACAGCTGAAGATCTGAAGATGTCTGTTAGACAATTTGAGACTTTACCAAATAGATTTCACCANCCCCCCCAGTGCTGGTTCTTTCAAGGTAACTTATACCTGGGTTAATATTGCTGTATACAGGCTTCTGTCTCTTCAGCCACAAGTCCTCCGGAAAAGGTCCATGATGTACCCTGGTTCCTCCCATTCCTGGGAATAAAAACAACATCAATTAAGCATCATTACTTTGGTTAAATTATATTGTTCAGCTATTTTTTTTTTCCCCAGGTACTCTGATGATATTTGTGGTTCTTAAGCATATCCCTATCATACTGAGAAATGCTGAAAGATGTGGCAGAAGGAAAGAATCTGAGGAATGTAAGCTCTTACACTAAAACAGCCCTTTCAGGTGCTCAAAATGGCTCAGAGCATCAGTGCCGTGATGGTGGTGGGCTCTCCTGTCTAGGGGTACACTTCCTCCCAGCTTGAATCTCCTCTTTTTCAGGGTGCCCCAGGAGGAGAGCAGGCTTTGATTTTTGCTGCTTTTTCTCTGGGGAACTCCCTTTGCCCCGCTGGGGCTGTGACTCATTTCCTCCCTATGGCTCATCTCGTCCTGTCTGCTGCCAGAGCTTACAACTCGCTCTTCCCCTTTGCAGCAGCAAAACTTGTTACAAAAGCAAGTGAAGCCATCACGTTGTCGGAAATCTTGCCCCCTTCCCTGCAGCACATAGAGAGCTTTGTCTGTGAGGTTCTGTATACGGTGTGATATGTAAGGAAAAGTAGGGGAAAAATCCAGTTATTTGCATGGCAAGCCATTTTATATTCCTGTTGTGCAAATGTGGGGGGATGCAAGGGCAATAATATTGGTGAGGCTTTAAATGGTGAAGAAGCCTCAAGATTCAGTCTCAGGTTTGTTAACAAAAATTTGAAGTTTCAGTAGTGAATGAAAGTAGGCTGAAAATTCAGAGTGAATTTTCAGTAGGCTGAAATCACCATGCTGGCAGTGACAGCYGCTGAAGTTCTTGAGGTGAGAGGCATCCTGAAAGCGAGCTGGCCAGGAAATTGGGGTGCACATTTCCCTGCCCTGTGGGTGGGACCTTTCCTTTGCACGTGCAGCAGAACTTCGGTGTTTATGTTGTTCAAGATAAGTGATCTTCCTTTGCCTATGAAACRAATACTTTCTGAGATTGAAAACACAAAAATTTTAGTTATTTTCTTGCCTTCCTAAATTTGTTTTCACCTGTCACTCATATTTAATTTGTGACATTATTTATATAAATTTTGGAGCAGGAGGCAAAGAAAACTGAGTGGTAGGAGTCTTAAAATTATTCAATYATCTCCTTTTAAAATAACTGAACTCTGGCTTTTGGCTTCCTACAGCTACAGGGGAAAATAAGGACTTTTAGGGTGGATTTTTTTTTTTTTTTCAATTCTTCATCTGCTTGAAAAGCCCACTGATGATGTGCCAGTGAGTTTTTTTGCTTCTGTGAAAAGTTTCTAGACCTTGCCACCTCCAAAGAAATGGGCTGATGCATCCTAGAGTGAGATGGGCTGGTGGATCCTGTAGCTGGAATTAAAGGATTTCCCTCATGTTGTGCCTGAGATGGGATGCAGCAGGGCTGTGAAAGGTGGAAAAAAACTAAAATCAGTCTGTGAAATAAGTGTCAAAGCTTGTGGAGAGAGACACATGGGGAAACTGTCAGTCCTCTTACAGCTGAGAAAGAACAAACTGCTGTGGACTCTATCAGATCCATCTTATTTTTCCAGACTTCAGTTTTAACAGGTAAAAGGGAGCCGTGTCGCAATGATGGTTCAGTGTTATAAATAAAAGCATGAGTGTTCCAATCTCAGAACTGATTGCAATTAAAATTTGATCACAGAGTATTCTGCCAGTATACATGTGAGGACACAGCTGAAATGCCAATAATACAGAGCCTGTTAAACTTTATRTTTTTTTTAAAATGCATTTACTACTAATTGCAAACTAGAGCCAAGCTGGCAGAAGAGGGATTTTAGTCATGGGGGCATAGTCTGTTGATTCATTCCTTGTTTTCTCTTGAAACACTTTAAATGTGTGCCATTTSGTGAGGACATGGTGGCTGTTTACTATTTTTTAAATTTTTACTCCTTTTCCTGTCCTTTTCATTTTTACTCTTCCTCTTCCTTTCCCTTTCCCTTTTATCTTCCTCTCCCTTTTTCTTTCTTTTCCTTTTTATTTTCCTTCCATCTTCCCTTTCTTTCTTCTTTTTCCCTTTATTTGTCTGCCACTTTGTTTTTGCTCTTTCCTTCCATTTGGAGACAGAGCAAACAGCTGAAAACTAACCATGGCCAAGAGATTTCTACATGCAGCTGTGTGCCCACACTTCACCCCTAACACAGTGCTTTCTGTTCCTTGCTGCCGTGAGCCTAAAAAAGCTTTTAGGCAGAGGGGTATGTTGGAGGGAGGGAATGCTGAACCTTCCAAGCTGTTCTGGGGAGGGAGACAAAGCTCTAGTCGTGGGCCAAGGAGACCCTTGTTGTGCCTCAGCTCTTGTGGTGCCCAGGAAATGGAGACAGTGGGGACAGGCACAGCCCTTCCAGTGCCAGCAGCTGGCTGGGGAACGGGGACAAGAGCCCTCCAGCGACACTGAAGTTGGAAAAAATGTTCAGTTCTTCCTCCATTCCTGTAGTAGCTCAGGATGGCTTCACTTTCCTATTCCAAAGTTCGTATGCAGCATGTGGGTGCTAGGAGCCTTGGAATGGGTGATGGATTTTGGCAGGACCAGAGCTTCTCCCACACTTCTCCTGCACTTCTCCCGTACTGCCATCGCTCCCAGGGTAGGAGCGGACTGTCAGCCAGGTCAGATTTCATCTTTTCCCCCTCAAAGCAGCTCACTTTGTAGCCATGGCAACTCGCTGCCAGGCGCAGGCAGGGCCCGGAGCTGGCACTCTGCAGCAGCTCTGGTCCTGCTAGCCGCGGCTGGCCAGGCAAAGGAATTTCCAGGAGTCCCCTCACTAGCTTACAGTCACCTGTACGGGTCTCCCAGCAGACACTGAAGAGGCTGAAATGAGAATCAGAGTTTGTGAGCATCCCTTCATGGCTCACAACATCTCTTTGCAAGATGCAGCATCTCCTCAAGGTTTGCAGCATCCCGTCAAAAGCCACAACATCCCCTCGTGGCATGGTCCCACATCCACACAAGGGATGGAGCTGCAGACCTTGGATGAGACTCAACACTAGATCTAAGCAGGGGAACAGGGCYCAGAAAGGGCTCAGTTCTCCTCAGAAAGGCTGTTTGTGTTCACTGCTGTCACAGAGAGCCCTGTGCCACAGTATACCTTCTCTCTGACCCACAAATTCTTCACTAACATGTGTCTCCTTGAGAGGAGCAGGGATTTGATCCTGCTCCAGCTGCCAGCTCTAAGGGGTTAAAGGATGGAGTCTTGCAGCCKGGGACTTTGCTCATCTACTTCTTGCTGCTGTTTGTTGTCGCAGACTTTTGTTATGCCCTGCATTAATCATGTTGTCCTTTAAGACACCTTCCTATTACAGCAGCAACCTTCCTTAGTTAAAATGCCTTAATTGAGATTTCTTAATGAAAACTTTTATGTTGCTCTTCTGTATTCACATGGGCATTCCAAACCCTTTCCTTTCATTGGCTGGAGGAGTTCTCCTCCTGAGGGCAGAGAGGACATAAAAGAGAAAAACAAATTACTACACTCTCATCATCTCAGCAGCATGTTTTTAGGGCTGTGAGGGAAACCAGGGACAGCTCCCTCCAGACATCACCCTGAGGTGTTGGGTGGAAATCATGGGCATATCCTGATCCTGGTGTGAGACATGGCTCCACCKTTGCCACTCAGCTCTTGCAGTTCATCTCCGGCGACCAGAAAGTGTTGTTGTTGTAATCAGGAGCTGCAGCTCTGGAAATCTGAAATTGCTCCCTGRGGAGCCGTTCTGACTTTGCTGGAAGAAGCAGCATGGTGCCTGCATATCAACATGTTCCAAAAGCCAGGAAAAGGGTGGTGCTGGAGCCTCGGGTCTGCATTGCTCATATCTGCAGTGCCAATGTTGCCGTGTGCCCAAGCACACACCCCCGGGTTTCACGCCAAGTGTTGTTTCTAATACAATGATTTCCCTGGAAAAGGGCAAATCTACAGATTCACACATCCGTTATGACAGGAGGAASGGGGAGATGGGACTGGCTGAAAAAAAGTGACACTTGAAAAATAAGAAACAACTCATGGGATTTTGTTATACCAAAGAAGGGAGGCTGTTGGCAGATTATCAGCGCCACTGCACATACATTTGAATCTTGTGAGGGTTCACAAATTAATCATGAATTGTAGACTGGTGACTTCAGCACCAGCAAGCATCACAATTAGAGTGATTTCAACCTCATAGGTATCTTCTGGGAGACCAGAACCAGCAAGCATCACAATTAGAGTGATTTCAACCTCATAGGTATCTTCTGGGAGACCAGAACCAGCAAGCATCACAATTAGAGTGATTTTAACCTCATAGGTATCTTCTGGGAGACCAGAACCGCAGAGTATAAGAAACTGAGGAGGCTCCTGAGGCTTCCTTCTCCTGGCCAGCCAGCAGCCCACAGCAAGAAGGACCAGAGCAAAAGAGCAACTGCTGCTGCAGTCTASAAAGGAGCAGGGTTTCCACCATGCCACTGTTCCCCTCAATCTCCTGCAGAAACCATCTCCTGATGCAGATGTTCTTTACTCTCCTGTATCTCTTTGGCTGTGTAGACACTGACCCAGTGCTTCAGCTTCAGGCTGGGCAAGATGCCCAGCAGAGTCAGGATGAGAGTGGTTGTTGGAGCCATGTCCAGGAAGAAGTGGGGGAAAAAGGGACTCTGTGGGACTGGGTGGGAAGGAGCAGGGAGCTGGGGGCACCTGGAATGTTCCCAGAGCTTCTCTGACCATCTGTCACCACCARGAGCGTCAAGCCCCTCTGCCTTCAATGCCAAGAGAGACACCATGCCCTGCCCTGAGGGTCTCAGATCTCACTGTGGGTCAGGAAACTCCTGGGCATCTTTCCCAGCTCCTCATCCAGCCAGCATTTCCCCTGCATGTGCACTCACTGGGCACCAGAATCCAGCTGCAATGCGTCTGGGGTTGCCTGGTGATGTCCCTGGCCACATTTCCCAGTGTGACATATCCTCCATGATACTGAAATGCCCAGAGCTGGATCTCCCAGCCCACAAGCCCCAGCCTTTGTCCCACTGCCAGGCTCAGCAGCTCCTGGGCATCCCCACAGTGGGCAAATCCAGCCACAGGAGCCCCATGGGTGTTCTGGATCAGGGGGACCCTTGACCAAACCCTCCCAAGTTGTAATTTGAAAGGGACATGGGGACTACAGGTGGGTGTCRCTGGCTTAGGCAGAGAGGTGCAATCTTTTCTAGGCCATGTCATCTTATTCTGWGTTTTCTTGCAGCGAAGAGTGACAACCCTTTGGGCAGAGAATTTTGTCTCTGCCCAAAAGGTAGAGACCTTCCTCTTGTACTCTTGGACTCCTTCTGCTCTTGTCATTTGTTACCTTGGAGAAGAGATCRAT